AAGCAAGTTTAGATAGATACAATTACAATATAAATAAAACAAAACATACTGCAGTTAAAAACACTTCTGTGTTTTGTGTCAATGTGCTCACATAATAGTCTGAACTAAGGTAGGTAAGAATGTCACAACATCAATATTTTGGTGATTCAGGAAAAGAATGTGACGGCATGAGACTTCCCTAAAGATATTAAAGCTTTTGCTAATCTACCCCGTTTTGGCCATGGCTGACTATTCCTAACAGGAATATTTAATCAGAACTTTAAAATAGTAATTGCATTTTTTGTCATTTGTGTCTTGTTTCGTCCCAATGTTTCTTCCTTGTCTTACCTAGAAATTTAAGTCTGTAAATGTGCAACAACATGTTGTGGACAAAGTTCTAATAAATAAATAAACAAAGTTATTATTATTATATAATTTTCCAGGAAACATATTCCACACAACACCGACAAAGCATGTGCTTTACATTTGATGTTAGCTTGGAATATCTTCCCATTTATTATTCAAAAAACAGTCTGACTTCAGAGACCACCATTTTTTTTTACTGATGGAAATGAAAAGCACATACATCTTCTCTGACACAAACACACAGGACACACCATTTGAAAATTATTTGGCTACATTGGCTACACCCTCTGTCTGTTCGAAATTTTATTCTACAAGTTTTATTCTTTCAAGATCGACCCCTGGTCGTCATTAACCTCTATAAATGGGCTAATGTCATGCAAATCTTATGGGTAGTTTATAGTCTTGAATGACTTTGAGATTCAGCTGTCTGCCTGTCTCCGCTGTCAACAGTGTTGGGAAAGTTAGTTCAAAGTTCAGTTCACAAATTTTAAAATGAACTAGTTCAGTTCATAGTTCATACTTCAAAAAATGAACTAGTTCATAGGTCTTTTTTTCCATATGTTGCTGCGAGCTTCTTTTTTTTATTATTATTGCCACAGCCCATATATAACCACAGACAGCAATTATTTTATCGAAGTTTCCACAGAAATGTAGATTTTTCCCATCCTCACCGACCTTGTCATAAAACTCGTTTAAATGATCATACGACGCCTCCTCGTTCGCTGCTTTGTCGAGTATGCTGCTTTTTGTTTTGATGACTCACGAGGCGGTGCGATGCGACGCGACGCTGGTGGCTGGTGTTGCCATATTGGGTGTTTTTTTAGCTACATATTAAGGCCTGTTACGTGTGTTTTAGCCGGGTTTTCGCCTGGAAGGCTCTATAGAAATCTGGCACCCTATTGAACGAAGATAAACTGAGAGAGCGTGCGTTCACAGACACCAGAATGAACGCGTTCACAGTAACGTTCATCAGGCAGTAATTCAGTACGTTCAGTTCACGTTCGCCCAAAATATGAACGAGTTCATGAACTATCGTTCATTGAACGCGTTCAGGCACAACACTGGCTGTCAACAAGGTGACTTATTTTGGCGTGCCAACCAATGACTGTATGTCAATGATAAACCCCATTTTCAGTGTATCAATAAGTATTGAAAACACTCTTCTGAAGTATTTTATGAGAAGGGTCCTTTTAGATTTCTTGACTCTGTGGCCTAGTTGCACTGGGCTGCTGGGCTTGTGAGCAGCCTGGTTGTGATTAGTGTGTCTGCTGGTATTAGATTTGTGCACACATACAGACACACACAACATTTCACAGACACATGCAACAAACCTCTTCTTGGTAGACTTATTTCTGAGCAATTCTTAGGCAAAATCCCCCTACAACCTTGAAATGACATAACCGTTTTACGAAAATTAGCATGTGGCATATGATTCTTATATCATCCTGACATACATTTTTTCTTAATCTTTGATTTTGAAGGGGGAAAACCAAGTGTTTCTGTTATGAACCACTGTTTTCTGAAACCAATCAGATTTTCTTTGAATCTGCACAGCTGGAACTGTAGAGAAAACCTTTTGAAAACCACATTTATAAATGCATCATCACTTCATTCACCTCAGAGGAAATGAACATTTGGCTTTTTCAAGAAGTACGATACCAATCTGTATTACTTTATTTTAAAAGATGATGAATTGAAAAATCTTTTTTAGCGATTCAATGAGCTTTACAAAGATGTTCAGCCAACTCCTTTAAAAGAACTGAAGATGGCAGAATAAAATGCAAACCACGTGCCATGAGTTTAATTTAGCTAAACCCATTTGAATACAGATGTTCTGGAAAGGGTCTAAATTGGCGTAGTCAATGACCTGCTTTCCAGTGACCTCCTTGGCTGGCATAAGTACACTTCCCTACCTAGCCCTGTGACTCGGTTGTAAGTTAGTGTTTGTAAACAGAGCAACCATGTGCGCTTACGCACGTGGAGTGTGCTCTTCAATTCATGCCCTTGCAAATTCAGTCCAAGATTAAACCTTCACAACAATACATATTATAATACCCTGAAAGTTTCCTCAGTTTGCTGGCTCACATCAAACATCCAATGACGTGCACTGAAGGATGAGAAAAAGGTGTATCTGGTGTCATATAAATGCCATAAATCAGAACTTACACCAAAATTGCTAAAGTATTACTAAATGCATGCAGTGCAATATAAGCTACCATCTAAAACAGCTAATAAATTACTATGCAGGCTGGAAAATGTTTTGGACCAAGGGGTATGGTAATTGATATACAGTATATATTCCATTTTTAATAAACCCTACAAATAAAAATACTGTAAATGCCTAGTATAAAAATCCAATCCAAGTAGAGACAATAAAGTCTCTTTTGAGAGGAAACTATATGGAAAATATTACTATAAACATCAAACCAGAGCAAATAAAAAAATGAATAAGCTGATGATAACAATTATCAACACCAACAAGGACAACAACAATAATACAATATACTATAAGTACAATCAATGTACAATCTGTCACCCTAAGCATTGATTTGAAAACAGATAATGTATTCTTTTTTTTTTTTGCCAGAGTGTTTATAAAATTGAATATGCAATAAAAAGACACTGTCAGCCACATAAGCCATTCTCTAGAACACAAATGTTTGTTTTTCACTCATGAATTCAACCAAATAAACATTTTTTCTAAGGAATAATTCAAGTCTACCCCACACAAATATACTTCTTATCATGCAATGATCTACCATGTCATGTACAGAAGTACATGATTGTTTTGTACATCTTGATCCAAACATTCTTAACAAGGAAAAAGGGTCTGTCTAAACTTCCAGTTTAGTTCCAGATAATGTTGTCAGTGTTGTGTATTCTCACCACTAAATATAATGTCATGCCATGGAGATGTACCAGTTACAATTGTATTAAAGTAGAATTATGCTTATTGAGTGATGTACTGCGATATCTCCGCTATATCACCAAGGGATTATCAATTCTAAGCTTAAAGTTGGAGTTGAAGCTTAAACAGTAACATGAAGTCAGTATGGCCCTTGACTCTCTCCAGATCCCTTCATTGTAGTTACATTAGCATTTGCACCACCTCTCTATAATGTTTATTGACAACACTCCATAAAGCATCCCCTTGCAGGCATGGACTAACTTCCACACTTCTCATCTAAGCAGAATGTTGGAATACACAAGCTAAATACACAAAATAAGGGGGCAGGACTTTTATCTGTATTATTCCATCAGCTAATTATGATGCAAATCCTAATAGGGCTGTTAAAATCAGTTACACAAAGGTCGTATTTGCAATTCATTAGTACATATGCTGTAGCCTTTTGTAACAGTTCACTCAAATTAATACTTTTGATTGTTACGTGTCAAAAGCAACTATGAATTCAACATATCTGAAACATTCAGACTTGGTCACTTTCAGCTGAATGTTGACTTTATTAATACAATGGTCAAAGTTATTCAAGCATTTGACTTTTTTTTCTTTGTTCTTTTTTTTCTTTGTTCTTTGCTCAGTAAGGAATTTCAATAGTCTAAAGCTTAATGTCAAACATATGCAGATATGTTCCAGGCAACTATAGCCCACCTCTGCTGTGCATAATATACTAAAGGAATTTAAATCAAATTCAGCATGGACAATAAACTGTTCTCTAATGTAATAAAACATTTTTTGCTCCAATTGAGAATATTCATGTGTGAGCTTAAAATTTAAAGAAATAATTTAGATCTTGTGTACAAATAAACAATGGGAATCCTATTAATGTCAGACAACTCAAAAAAGTCCGCTCTCCGGTGGCCCTCAGCTAATGGTGCTATGGGGTTGGGTTTCAGTTCTTTTAAAGCCTCTGACCTTGTGGGCTTCCACCACTACGCTCTTCTGTGTTTTTTTTTTTTTTGACCTCAGAACTGTGCTAGTCTTTGTGTCTGCTTGTCACTCACTGATGAATGCAATGAAAGCAAGTAGTTCCACTATCCCTGGCCAAACTCCCACATTCAATCAAAGCACACAACAAATTAAGGAAATGTAGCAAGAAGAATTTTGTCAGATATAAAAAAATATCCTTTACATGAAGAAAGTTTTTGGGAATAAATATTAAAGAAATTCTTTTCACCTCCTAAAACACCCCTTTCTTGTATCTACTTTCTGCCATCCAATAAGGCTGGTGGACACTGAAGAGATAAGATAATTTTGTTAGTAGTGTGACTATTTAGTCTTGCTCTCAGCACAGGAGATCCATTGGGAAATAATGCCTGAAGAAGAATTGGCCAACAGTCTCACAAAGATCAACATTTTTTAAAGCAGGCACATTCCTAAATCTGTCCTCTGCACAACATCTTATATTAAAAAAAAATAAATAAATAATGAAAACAAATGAGATTGAAATGCTTGAAATACTTTCTGTCTGCACAAGCTAAAAAAAAAAGGAAAAAAAAAGAGAGAGAGAGAGGGAGGGAGAAAGAGAGACAGAAAACGTCAGCCATGTTGGTGAAGCTTTATCTAATATGCTTTCATTATTATGTCAGCTCACGGGTTTTAAAGAGGACAGTACAATGCTAAACAAGAGCTTGAAGCCCTTAAAGAGACCCTGGGGGACAAAAGAAAAAGGACAAGAACAGAAAAACTCTCTCACCTCTTTTTAAGTCCCTCCACTTTGTAGAATTCCAACAAACCGTCTAGGTCTCCTCTTAAACAAATCCTAAAGGGCAGCCATCTTGCTTCCTTCTGTTCCGTCTATGAAACAGACTACCTCCGCATCAATATTCATGGGTTAGTCTGACGTTTGCTTTCATCATCAGGGGCAGAAACCCTGCGTTGTTGTTGGCTCTCGAAGCGCTTCCAGATGCAACCCATAAACACACGCTCACTCTTGTATGTGCTTGTATAGACAGTGAGCAGAGTGAGACAGTCCAGTGTACAAGTGTGTGCAGATTAGAGGAACCAAGCTTGCTTTACCGGCAAGCTGAAGTAATTGCAAAATCGCTTTCCTGCTGGGTCCTCTACACACAAAGGGACTGAGTTTCTTTTCTTCCCCCTCCTTTTTTTGCTCTCTTTCTTTTTTTTTTTTTCAGCCGCACACAATAGTGCACACTTTACTGGCTGCCCCGAAGCACTGGACTGGATTACACCTTCCGCCCACTCCAGCGCACACAGGGAGGGAAAACACCTCCACTCACAATCTGTTTCACTGACGGAAAGTATACCAAAATGGAAACATGAAAAGAGAAAGAATTTATTATAAGACATTAAACCAAAATTTCTTACTCACACTATTCTGTCTAATTACTAAAATCTCGCTGACTGTCTGTCTTTCTTTCTCTCTGAGATGACGAAGCACTGCCTCAGCTTCTATGAAGCCTTGCCCTTATTTACACATGCTTGGTCTTATTTTGGCACACAGTGGTTTGGGAGCTGCACACTTAGACTTCAAAAAGTGAACAAATTCTTGTCTGACAAGCAGGAAGCATGACACTGAGTTTATACTGTTGAATTCACCACTGTGAAACAAGAAAGTGAGACTTTGGCGAGATAAAATATTTTATTAATATTTTCTGTACTGACAGAAAGTTCACAGCTTCTCAGTTAACACTATGGCCCTGTGTGTAGTAATGTACATGGTGAAAGCTTGCACTAGCCCTTCTCCTCCTCCACTCTCTTTTTAAAACGTTTAAACATCCTTTTTTTTTTGTCTTGTCTGTATTTTAATAGGTGGTTATTGTCTGAAAAAAAAAAAAATCAGCCTTTGGCTCCTCTCCAGTTTTGAAAGGGAGAGCCCACCTCTTTCCTGTGAGACACAGCCTAGCTGGAGTGACGTTTGTTGACTCAATAGTTTCAGGCAGGGAGCAGAAAAGGAGATTTGTTGTTACACCGCATGGAGGAAGGGAAGTGGGGGAAGGCAGGAAGGTTTGCATGAGCAGTACTCACCAGAAATGGCCATTGCACATATCAGGTTCAGCAATTGTGCAATAAGAGAACAAGCTGCATCCCCTGGTCAAACACTTATCAAAGAATCCAAGTCATTTGGTCATGTTTTAAGAAAAATGTGACTAATCACATTGTAATCCCAATGTTTGTAACATTCATATTCTTAATTATTTGTCAGTGTATTATGGATTATAACATTGTAATAACTACTGAATAACAGATTTATAGATGATGTATAATGTAATTGTGCCACATATTTTACACATAGGCTAGCATGTTACATCCAGTATCTTATGACAATTTGTAAGATCTAACTCACAAAAAAGTGATTTCTAGGTAAAACTTCGCCATGTGACCAAGTTTCACCCCTAAAACTAACCCTTACAATCGCATGAGTAGATCATTTAAAAATGTATAATTAAGATTGTACAAATTCACAACAAATTGTAAAAGAATCAATACAAATTGTTATGTTAGTGTGTTGGAACCATCAAGAAATTATACAATTTGAATTAAACACAACAAAACACAATTCTTGCTTCTGAAAAGCCGGCTCAGTTTCTGGTAACCATTTTATTTTGTTCGTTTGCATTCCCAGAGCATTCCAGTATTCTGTGCATTCATTAACACACATCTCGCACAGTCCCTTAAAGACAAACTGACACCATAAGGTGCTTGTTCATTGTTTGTTGGTTGTGGAATCACTGGAACTTTCTTCTTTTTCCCCAGGTCCTATAGTCACACAATAACTACTAATGTCATTACTATGCATATACACCCTATACGCAACCACAAATGCGGTAACATTACTAAGGTCTTATACTAGGATTGAATTGTACGGCATTCTGGCTCTGGCCTGTGTTTATACAGAAAGCTCTATGGCAATTTCCAGTTTCCTGGACTCAAAGCCCATTGTGAATGCTCTCTATTAGAAAATGAAATGTAGTTAAAAATAACATAGCTACCATGTTGACCAAACAAATCTAAGCATCCCTTCTGCTACCCTCTACAGAAAATATATGTCAAATATATGTAAAATATATGGGGGGGGGGGGGGGGGGGGGGGGGGAACTCTCACCTTGTGCGTGAAAAAGGGGACGATCCCACACTGCTGGGGACAATGACATAATGGACACACTTTTAACACGAGTGACCTCACACATCTGCTTGATTACAGGCATTAAAGAGGGCTTAAACTACATTCTTAGTTTAGGGTTGGAGGGCTTAAGGCAACCCTTGTGATGCTCCAAATAAACACATGAGAGCTGACATTTGACGTAGGCTTGATAAACAACATGCACTGATATATTGAATTTTAAGAATTTTAAGGCTAACTTAAATAATTGTATGCAATAAATCAATTTCTATGCAAAAACACAAATTACTTTAGGGACCAACTCTAAAAAGAAGTCACTTCTGCACTTATCTTACAAGACTCGTTAGTGTAAGACCTTAATTTCCTAAATAATACAGACCCAGCAGGAGGGCCAGAGACCTAAAGTGGGGAGTTCAGGAGGGCACAGAGAGTTTCAGCAGAACAAACCAACATTGCAGAACTAACTCAAAGAGAAAATCTGAACTTGTAATGAAAATATGTTTTGTTTCTCTAGTTCTTGCATCTGCATTTCTATTTATGGGCTATTTTGCATTGTAATTAACCATTTTTAATTACCGCCTACTAAGCAGTTGCTTCAAGTGAAAACGTCTGAAGCTGTTTTCACGCACTCTGTTTACAGGTGCCTGGTTCTTTCTCACTCTGTAGGGATGCAGGATTTTACGAGGCTCTATGCACAAAGGCTTATTATTCTCTTTGCACAGACACAGGTCATGTAGGGCCTTCAGGGGATGAGACCATATTGTGGCCACTGCTGGCCCTGTCTGTTCACGTGAGGTTCCCGTGAGCTTCTGCATTACACTTCTGCTTTTCAAGCTCTACGTTAGGTTCACCAAACTATCATTTGATTCACATATCAACATGAACAGATGGGGATTAGGTAATAGCTGGATTTGATGTCTTTACTGGCACACTAAAGCAATGGATATAAATGACCATTTTAAAACAGATGATTTGTGAACCATCTAAAGTGCCTAAGAAGTTTGCACAGTAATGTACTGAAATATTCTTAAGTAAAAGAGTAAACCTATACTGTTGTTAATGCAGGTATTTAATATCTACATTTAACAACAATCACCAATTTAAATGCATGCTCTCAGTTGTGATTTTAATCTGGGTAGATTTGCTATGTTTATCTTTTTGGTTACTCAGATTTTCTTTTACAGTTCCATGTACTGTCACATTCTTGATAACGTTGGCTGTAACTACAGATAGAGTAACTTAATTTTAATGTAGGATTTTTATGTGCAAATTTGGTCATATCTCCCCTATATTTGCTCTTTGCACTTGCTACCGGTCTTAAAATGTTACTGTTTGTTTTTAAAAGCTCTGAGTGGAACGGCTCCTGAATATCTCTGTGATCTTTTAAACCCAAATACATCCGTTATATCTCTGAGGTCTTCGGAGCAAAGAGTCTTGATGGTCCTGAGATCCAGATTGAAGTTGAGGGGTGACTGTGCCTTTTCAATTGCTGGACTGAAACTGTGGAATTGTCTTCCAGTTTCCCTCAGAATAGTCTCTTCAGAATCTGAATTTAAACCCAAGTTAAAAAAACTCAGCTTTTTACCCAGGCTTATAACTGTCCCTAGAGTAAGGATCCGTCACTCATCAGTGTTCCCTTTCAGTCGCTCACGTTCGACGTGACGACGTCATTGGGATCACTTCAGGGAGCCCTATCAACTTCGAGTATCTACAGAACGAGCCAATGAACGTTGGCGTGCGTGAGAAGCGTCACGCGCCCCGCCCCACAGCGCGGGTATAAACAGGAAGCGGGCGCACGCACTCATTGTCTTTCACTTCGGAGCCGAGATTCGTTTTGACTCTAAGTTTCTGCAGACTGCTGCATCGTTGGAGACTTCAAAAAGAGAATACTCTGTTCCAGTGCTGGTGTGAAGGCGCGATCAGCGGTGGCCGCGAGCATTACAGCTCACAACTGCTGTTTTCACAGCATTGCTTGTGTGTGTGTGTGTGTCTGTGTGTGTCGGTCTCGGTGGGTGTTCCTCTCGTGAGTGTGTACCCCGATTACACCGCGGCTATCCCTGGGTGCTTCAGCACTGAGAGAGTTATTTTTTATTTTTTATATTTTTTTGTTTTCAACTAAAAGAGCAACACAACACAATGAGTCCTTTTCAGGATATCATTCCGCTTGTGCGTTTCTGGATGCGGTCATTCCCTGGCGCCAGCGGACGGCCACAATAGTTGCTTCTCGTGTTTGGGCATTCAGCACGCTGAGGCAGCTTTTGTGAATAGTTCATGTTCCCATTGCGGGAATATGACTATGACAGCGCTGAGATCGAGACTCGCTTACCTCAAGGGAGGTGCAGTCCCCTCGCCTATGCCCCGATATAGCGTCTATTCTGGACCTCAGAATAGACCTACTTCTGTGCATGGTCAGGGTGATCTGAGGATTACCGTGAGGGCTTCCCCGCCGAGGCAATCTTCATGGGTCCCTCACGCCTCACAAGCGCTGCCTCCGTTGGAGCCTCCAAAGGAACGCGCTGGTCCTTCTCATGGACAACCAGCCGTGTCCTTTGGAGCTCCACCTGATGACCAGATGTCTATCGCAGCATCGGAGGGGGAGCTTCAGTCCTCTGGAGTTGAAGATTCGGCTGCGTTGCCCCCTTCGGGGAGTGTAGCGTTGTCCGAGTCTGATCCAGAATGGGCGGCTATGCTTTCCTGGGCCGCCGAGAAGGTCAGGCTTGTGTGGAACCCTCCACCACGTCTCGAACCTTCTCGGTTGGACGATTGGTTTCTCGGGGCGGGCCGTGCTGGTTCTCAGCGCGCCACCCCGGTACCATTCTTTCCGGAAGTGCATGAGGAGCTTACTAGGACGTGGAGGGCGCCGTATAGTGCCAGAAGCCGTCCTAGTGGCTCCTCCCCCCTCACCACCCTCAACGGCAGAGCAGCTAAGGGGTATGTGGATGTTCCGCCGGTGGAGCGTGCCGTCGCGATGCAACTGTGTCCGGCGTCCGCTTCCTCCTGGCGGGGCAATCCACGCCTCCCGTCCAAGGC